GATTAGTTAATGTTGTTGTTGTGTGGCACTACAAAGATGTAAAGTGTTAATTACTGGAGTGCTAAGTGTTCCAGTTTACATTTCTATAAGATAATTGAGATGTTGGTATTTAACACACTTTCTAAATAGTTCACCATATTGAGGAGAATTTTTGAGTTCCTCAGTTCAGTATTTCACATAAATTGCTAATTTGTATTGAAAATGACAGGCTTCAGCTCATTTTTTTGCAGTCTTGCTAGTAAGTTGCATCTTGTACTGTTTATGCTACGAGTTTGGAAAACAAATAGTCTGATCTGAACAAATCTAACAGGAAAATCAATTTTCATCAGGTCCTTCAAATCGCTCCAATTCTGTGTCCTCTTTGGATTTAGAAGGAGAGTCTGTGTCAGAGCTTGGTGCAGGGCCTTCTGGGAGCAATGGTGTTGAAGCCCTGCAGCTGTTAGAACATGAACAAGGTAGGTGCAGATACACAGTTCAAAGCGAGTAGACTGTTACAATTTCTCTAAGTCCATCAGTTTTGAATCTCTAAATTGGGTATGTCTGAGATGAATAAAGGGGCTTTCTACATCGTTTAATTACTTTCACACTTTTTTGAATATCTCACATTTTCATTTATTTTTTCATTAGCAAGCTATTGTTGTCCACTAAAACAATGTTAACATCATTCTTAGAACATTGACCTTATATTGTATTTTGAAATCTTAGTCACTATAATAAAATATTTTTAAATTTTTGTTTTATGATGCCTTCCTCTTCAAGAGGGAAAAGGATGATTTGAATTGTAGCGATTGGAAATGTTAGACCGTAGATATTTTTGTAGTTACCGACACTTGAACTGGAGAGGGCAAAGTGTTCCAACTGATAGGAATTCAACCTCTTCCCTTCCACAAACTAATCTCCCTTCCAGTCAGTTTTCACCATAATTTACTCACTCCTTGATGTCTGTCATTCATAGTTGTAGACAGTTATGATAGCTCTATGTTTGGCAAATATATACACTTTTTTTAAACCTTCTCTCATAAGTAAATCTCTAGTGTTTCTCAAATATGAGTAAAGAATGTTGTCACATTGCATCTATTTGAATATACAAATTATTGTGATTATTATTAAAGTGCTGTACAGATCCTAGTTATTTAAAACTGCATTTTACTTGACAGAATTAGTTTCCTGTCGTATAGCATATTGAAGAATTTTTGAGACCTTTTATTTTTACGTAGCTACGACTCAGGATAATCTTGATGACAAGCTCCGTAAATTTGAAATTCGTGATATGATGGGATTGACTGATGATAGGGACATATCAGAAACTGTGAGTGAGACCTGGAGCACAGATGTCTTGGGCAGTGACTTTGATCCAAATATTGATGAAGACCGTTTGCAAGAAATTGCAGGTAACTGACAGCACATCCAACATGAAAACTACTTTAAGCTTGCTGCAAAGCAAGGAGGCTTTTAATCATAGATTATTAGGGTTGGAAGGGACCTCAGGAGGTCATCTAGTCCAACCCCCTGCTCAAAGCAGGACCAATCCCCAACTAAATCCCCAGATAGCCCCCTCAAGGATTGAACTCACAACCCTGGGTTTAGCAGGCCAATGCTCAAACCACTGAACTCTCGTTCCCCCCTCCCCCCCCCCCAAATGAGCTCTTATTCAGTCTCTGTGTAGTTAGGAATAAATGTGTTGTTAAATCTAAGTTTCTTTGTAGGAAAACTTTAGACATCTGTCCTGCCTTTGTTATGGGTACTTTCTTCTGTTGTTTCTCACCTCCCCCGTAGATGTTGTATGTCTTTTATAATTACTTAATACTGGACACCCAGTTTATGGTATCTGTCTTACCAGAATCCTCTCATCTTTCCTACCTGATCCTTTCTTCCCTCTTGGTTGTGCAGGTGCAGCTGCAGAGAACATGCTTGGCAGCTTGCTGTGTTTGCCAGGTTCAGGATCTGTGCTGCTGGACCCCTGCACAGGGTCAACCATCTCCGAAACCACCAGTGAAGCTTGGAGCGTGGAGGTATTGCCAAGTGATTCAGGTCAGAATCCTGCAACTCATCTTTAGTTTGGTCTTTAACATGAACTGCAAAGCATTATTTCATAAATATTTTTGGATAAGTGCTTCACTTGAAACCATCACTTTGAGAGGGAATATTACCTGCCCAAAGACCACAAGCTATTTCAGAGGGCAGGTAATAATCATAGTGGTCCTTTTTCAAACAAAGATGATTTCTTATTATTCCAAAATAAAACTATGAGAATTATGGAAGTCTTTAAGATTGACATATTGTGAATACAAATACCCATATAGCACTCAGGGTGCACAAAATAAGCCGGTTTGTAGCCATTCCCTTTGGCTAGGTAGCATGCTGTGAGGTGGGGAAAGGGTGTATGATGAGCAATGACTAGGAAGATGGTAGATGTGCTGTGGTATATGTCTTGTTTTTAATTCGTTTGGGTGAGTTAGGTGTAGTGCACAAAGATTTCTAATGCACAGGAGGGTCTAACCTTTGTGACTCCATTAATCTTACCAGGATGGACAGAAGAATAAATTATAATGTGAGAGCAGATCTAGCATGGCTTGGTGACTGTTTGCAGTGTTCTGGAAAAACTAAGAATAAAAGGAGCACCGTAGAACTATGGGAATCTTTCTAGGCAGAATTTTTACATACTCTCAATGTTTTCATGAGCATTTAATATATCATTCCATAGTCTCTGACTAGGAAACTCAATAATTCAAATTTTGATTTTTGTTAGAGTAAAAATAGATGTAGGAAAATGCCCCTGCAGATATAAAGGACTATCTGCATTGTTTTGCCTGCAGTACAGCAAAGTAGAATTGACTGAAATAGCTCAAATTATTTGTTGCTATTTCAGATTACATTTCACAAAGTTAGCTAGACTCTCTTTACATTAATCTAAATCCCTACACCGTCTTTTTGCATGTGAATTGTAAGAGACTATAACATCAGGCAGTAATGCATGCACACCATTTCCTATTTAGAGGCCCCAGACCTAAAGCAGGAGGAAAGACTGCAGGAGCTGGAAAGCTGTTCTGGGCTGGGCAGCACCTCTGATGACACAGATGTGAGGGAGGTCAGTTCTCGTCCCAGTACACCAGGCCTCAGCGTCGTGTCAGGTGTGTTTTTATTTTCAGGAACAAGTTTTGCTTTATTAGATGGTAACCAGTATGTTTTGCCATGTGCTTAGTTTCATCATATTTATTCTCATCCATAAAAGGATTTTTTTGGTCTGGTGCTCGTACTCTGATTTCCAGAGCAGTAGTACCATGCTCTTCATCCTACTAAAAATAGAGTGAAAGCCAAAGAATCTGTTGTTCAGAAGCAGAGACTTGCGATAGGGTGTTTTGAATCTAAGAAATCACCTAATATTTCCTTACATCTCACTATGGACACCTGCCTTCAGCTTCTCTTCATCCCATTTTGTTTAGCATACCTCTGTCGTCTCTGTCTCTGCATCTTACTTACATTTCCTGTCATAGGTTGGTGCAAATTATTTGTCTGTCTTAAGGTCCTTTATATTGCCAGTCATAGCATCAAAGCATATATATATATGCGTATATTAAATAGCGGAATAAACAGATGGAACCCGAAGGTTACAAAACCTTATACCAGGACAGATTCTAAAGTCATGGCTCTCAGAATGTCAAGCTGCCATTTCTCTTGAATTCAGTGTTAGGGAGTTGGCAGCAAGAACACCCCAGCTCATTGCAGCTGTCACAAAAAAGTTTAACAGTTTTGATTTCTGTGTCCTTTTTGTCTCAAAGACCCTCACAGATCCTTCTTTTGTTATTTGGAAGGTATTAGTGCAACCTCTGAGGATATTCCTAATAAGATCGAGGACCTTAGGTCTGAGTGTAGCTCTGACTTTGGAGGGAAAGATTCAGTGACAAGTCCTGATATGGATGAAACAGCTCATGGTAAGTAAAGCCCTTGGATAGTAAGTGAAAAATAAACTGCATCTTAGATGAAAGCTCATCAGGAATTGTTAAACTTGTGACTGTAAAACCTTTTAACACTGTACATCCCAGCAAGAATAAGTGGGATAAACGCTGCGTAGAAAAAAAGTTCACTTCTATTTAGAAAATGTATTTTCTGGTTTTTGAGAAACCGTTTACAATCATTCTCTCCATATTTGTTCAGCAGATGTGTTTATGCTTATGAATAGAAAGAGGAGGTGATGAAATACTGCAGAGTCTGAGATCTAAGTCTTTATTCTATCGAATTCTACCAAGTTAGGTTGACTGCTCTTTTGCACTTGAGATTTACTCCCCTCACTGTGCTCTGTGTGGTGTTTTACAGTTTTTATAATAATTTGACTGTTTAGTCCTGTGAGTGCTTTCAGGTGCCTTCCTGTCAGTACATTTTGAAGTGTGTTAAGCACTTATTAACATTGTAAAAGGATCTAAATGCTGCCTGTTTCATAAGCTCTGTGAATACATTTGTATGGTGCAGCAGTCTAGCTAAGAAGCAGTGAATAGTGCATGGCACATGCAGACCCACTTTCTGTATTGTTTCAGGAGCCAGTCATTTGACTTCTCCCCCTTCTCAGTCGGACTCTTTGCTTGCATTGTTTGACCCTTTGTCATCACACGAAGGTAAATTGTAAAGAATGAGCTATTCTTGTTTTTAAGATCAATACAGTAACTCCTCGCTTAACGTTGTAGTTATGTTCCTGAAAAATGCAACTTTAAGCTAAATGATGTTAAGCGAATCCAATTTCCCTATAAGAATTAATGTAAATAGGGGGGAGTTAAGTTCCAGAGAAATTATTTATATTTAAGTTATAAGTTTTAAAGTTTAAAATTTTAAACAAACAATTTAATACTGTACATAGCAATGATGATTGTGAAGCTTGGTAGAGGTGGTGAAGTTAGAGGGTGGAAGAGGGTGGGATATTTCCCAGGGAATGCCTTACCGCTAAATGATGAACTAGCACTCGGCTGAGCCCTCAAGGGTTAACACGTTGTTAATGTAGCCTCACGCTCTACAAGGCAGCACAAATGGAGGGAGGGGAGACAGCATGGCAGACAGAGACACACACCCTGTGTGTGTGTGTGTGTGTGTGTGTGAGAGAGAGAGAGAGAGAGAGAAGCATTGTCCCTTTAAGTACACTGGCCCCACTCTGAGTACATTGCATTTTTAAATATATCAGGAAGTTGAGAGAGCAGCTGCGGCCAGCAAGCTCCCTCCATCCTGAGCCCTGTCGTATCTCCCCCCGTTCTATGGATGGGGTAAGTGGGGGACAGGAGCAGGGTAGGAGGGGGACACCCTGACATTAGCCCCCCTCTCTCCCACCCCTGCACAACAAGCAGGAGGCTTCCGGGAGCAGCTCCAAGGCAGAGGGCAGAAGCAGCACATGGCAGTGTGGGGAGGGACAGCTGAACTGTCGGCAGTTGATAGCCTGCAGGGAGGCTGCTGCACAGGGAACTTAGGAGAGCGGGGAGCTGATAGGGGGGCTGCCGATCCACCCTGGTTCCAAGCGCCCCCCACCAGCTAGGTGCAACGGGCTGCTCTTCCTGCAAGCAGTGGACAAAGCAGGTGGCTGCCAAACAATGTTATAAGGGAGCATTGCACAACTTTAAATGAGCATGTTCTCTAATTGATCAGCAACGTAACAACAAAACAACGTTAACAGGGATGACTTTAAGTGAGGAGTTACTGTACAACAAAGGCTGCTGTCCATTTTAGTTGGGAAAAAAATCTTACCCATTTGAGAAATGCACGTACACACATAACCACCACGGTATAATCCTAATGTTTGGTTCAATGATGTAATATTTCATTGCTTCAGGTGTATCAGCAGTGGTTAGGCCTAAAGTGCACTATGCAAGACCCGCTCATCCGCCGCCAGATCCCCCAATCTTGGAAGGAGCTATGGGAGGTAATGAGGCCAGATTACCAAATTTTGGCTCCCACATCTTAATCCCAACTGATTTGGAGGCGTTCAAACAAAGGCATTCCTACCCAGAAAGGCTGGTCCGCAGCAGGAGCTCTGACATAGTGTCATCAGTTCGGAGACCTATGAGTGACCCTGGCTGGAATAGGCGGCCTGGTAATGAAGAAAGGGAGCTTCCTACACAAACACCCAACATTGGGGCAGCTGCTTCAGTGCCTGCGCCTCAGTCCTCTTCGTCATCCCCCAGTAAAGACTCCTCTAGAGGAGAGGTAAGACATTCGTTGTGAAGCTGAACTGATTTTGTATCTTTGTTCTTTTTCTCACATGTCACTTTTGAGTAGAAATGTGTCTCTAGTGTTGTTGTTAGCATTAAATATATTAACTAGGGAAGCCTCGTGCAATTCTGGCACCTTCTGAAAGGTGGCGTGTAGTATGACTTATAAAAGTCAAAGCTTAAGATGTGGTGAATGGCCCAAATAGACAAGGTCCCTTTTTCAATTTGTGACATGCTTTAGTTGTAGGACCCCCAAAATGAATCTCTAACCATAAAGTCTTGTAGTGGTAAATGCGTCAACATAATGAAAACAAACATTGCCTTTTTTCTGAGAGATTTTCTTGGATTGTTGTACACCAACTTTTAGTCCAGAACAAATGGTTACACTCAAACTTACAAACACCCCTCCAAGGGAGGACTTAAACTTTCAAGAGCAGGTTATTTTACTTTGTTGTAGTGCTGTTTTGCAGGTAATGTGATATGATCTGTTACTAGTAATCAAGAAAATATTTTTCAGTCTTCCATTTTACAAAATCATGTCACTTTCCCTATAGATTGAGGAACGAAAAGACAGTGACGATGAGAAATCTGACAGGAACAAACCCTGGTGGAGAAAGCGTTTCGTTTCTGCCATGCCCAAAGGTAAGAGTCTCACGTTTACACGTTCTTGGCGCCTTTAGAAATGCTGTACATTGCTTTCAATAAATCTGCACTTTGATAGGAAAACTTCTGTGACTAACTCGCCAGTTACTGTGAGATCATATATTAAATGGTCAGTCTGGATAGTTGACTACATGAAGGTTGCAACCAGTCCAGGCTCACAGTACTATCTGCCCTTTCTATATTGTTTTAATCTGAGATTGTTATGCTAATTACTTAACAAAACCAGATAGTGCAGAGTCAGAGGTCTTGTAAATGATGAAATCTGGCCGGTAGCTCACAAAAGAGTCTTTGAATTTATGGGTATTGGTACCATTTTAGAAGTAAAGGAGATTAGGTATACATTCAGTCTAAAAGATAATCTCTAGAATTTAAGACTTTGCATATGTGAGGTATTATCTAAATGTTAAATGTCACAACACCCGTGTGAAAATAGAACAGTATTGTCCCCAGTTTGCAGAGGGGTAACTCTTCTTAGATGAATTGGACTTAAATTCAGTTGTATAAAAATATTTTGTTTTTCTACATATTTTAGTATTGCACAGTGGATTGTGACTTTTATCAGGAACCATTAATTGGAAGTAGTTTCCAGAAACAGCTGACAGCACTATAATCAGTGCATGACTCTGGATCTGTGGACATATGTCTAGAGTAAATTTGTGACGCCAGCCAGTTTCAATTCCTAATCCAGTAAATGAAAATACTGAATTCAGAAGGCACTGTGCTTCAAGGCTTTTTGGGGGTGCTGATTGTCTGGCTTAGCTTAGTAGCTGTTAAGGACATAATTTGTAATATGATCACAATAGGCTGCCTGTTTCACCCCACAGGCTTGGGTATCATTAATTTTTGTATTTAAAGAGGACTTGTGTTACTGAGAAGCTTCAGACGTCACCTTTGCAGTTTCTTACACATCTAAATACCCTTCATGGAGACTTTATTTGATGTTAAACTTACTGTTTCTTACAGTTTCTAAATGTAGTTTGTAATTCCATGCTTTATTGTCTCCATGTATAATGTGTCTTATACAGACTTTCTGTAATTTCCAGCTCCTATACCATTTAGAAAAAAAGAAAAACAAGAAAAAGACAAAGATGACTTTGTGTCTGAGAGATTCTCAACACTTCAAGGTTTGTATATTGCCCTTGCAGCGCCTTTACTAAGCATATGCATCCCAAATGCTCTCCTGGGACAGCCAAAACGTTACCTTTTACAGGAATATATATACTAGTATAGAGAGAAAATTTTGAATATTAAAAATTAGCTTCCTAACTGAGGAGGTTATTGTGGTTAGTCAGTACCTGCCCTGAAGACTTAATGAGTTTTAAACTTGTTATGCAGTGTTGTTTGCACTTAGCATTGAACTCAGCACCACATGGAGCTAATTCCTGTTATATTTTCCTCATTGTTCAGATGATCCCAATCCCAGACTAAGTGCACAGGCACAGGCTGCAGAGGATATCCTGGACAAATATAGGAATGCTATTAAGCGAACCAGCCCAAGTGAAGGAGCTATAGTAAATTATGAAAGTGCAGGTAAGAACTTTTGCAGCGCTACCGCCACAACATTACAAAATGGGCAGCAGAAAACCTCTTGGTGATAAAGTTGAACACCCCTTAAATATTCTAGTCAAATGATAGTACTAACATCTGAACTATATTAACACTCTCTCTAGTGCAAGGAACAAGGAGGTTTCTCTTTGTTTAATTTATAATTGCATCTGCGCTGATAGTGGGAGCTAAACCATAATCTCCAAGGCCAGAACTCCTTGATTGAATCAATTGGGAGTTCTCAGTGTTGTTAGTTTATGCATCTCGTTAGTTTATGCATCTCATATTAGCAATTTTTTTTAGAAGAATTGGAAAACAATAAAAGGAAATTGAGACCTAAAACAGAATTATACAGTTCCTTTTAAAAGCAAATTGTACATTACTTATTTTGAATCTTTTAAAATTTACTTTAAAATTCTATTTATTTATATTTTTGATGGATGGATTGACCTAGGTTTCTTTTCCATATAATTAAAAAATCTTCTTGGAAATTAAAAATGAGAAAAAGAAAACAAACAATATAGTACTAGACAGTCAAGTTCCTTTCTATGAATTCTCTGTTGGAATGTTTGCTTAGATGTAATTGGAGATGGTGAGAGTATACACGACTCTCCACGTGATGAAGCCCTGCAGAATATGTCAGCTGATGACCTCCCAGATTCTGCAAGTCAAGTAGCACAGCCACAAGACTCTGCTTTCTCTTACAGGTAAACGTAATCTTTGTGTGTGTAACTTTGATTTTGGTGTTGGATTAAGACAAAAGCTGAAGCCATCTGGTTGATCTGCAGAGAAATCATGATATATACTGTAGGTATCCTAAATTGTATAGTGGAAAAGAATTATTCTCCTGGGGACCAGTCGTATTGTTTCTTACTGTAGACTTCCAGATATTTTGTCCAGTGTAGGTTAAAATATGTAGTTAAATGGTAGGATATCCACCACTTCTTCTGAGTGTATTTTTCAGGGTGTTCGTGCACATTCTCAAGAAGTTTTTCCTAATGTTCCACCTATATTTCCCTCTGCTTAGTCCCACTCTTTTCCTCCTACTCATACTTTTTAGTATGCCAAATAATTTCTCTCTCTCTCTCTCTGGGTCTCTTCTTTGTCCTTCTTTCCAGCTCCCTGATCATTTCTGTTGCTCTCTGCCAAACTTCCTCCTGTCTCTTTGGAAATTAGGGGCCCAAGAACTGAATACGGCTGCCTAGGTGCAGTTGCACCACAGCTGTATAGAGAAGGATCTACACCCCTTTCCCATGATGTGATGCCTCCACAAATGCAGTCCAAAGTTTCATTGGCTTTTTGCTGCTATATCGCCTTACAAGCATATGTAGCTGTATGCCCTTTTTCACCTATCATCTGTTTTATTCAGCTTTACTCCATTCTAGGTTTCTCCTTTTTGTTCTACCTCCAGTTTCTTCCAGCATTTAAACCTCCTGTGTTAAAGGGTCTCATACTTATTTTAATGAGCCTGTATAACTTTGGAGTGAAGCAGTTGGTTCCATCTGTCTCTGTGCATATACCATTTAGGATTGACACTTAAAAAAACCCCTCCCATAATTGTATACATTCATGTGGATTCGTGTTAGCTAAAGGAATTAAGATATTTAGTTTGTGTTGGGAGAAAGCACTGAAAGGTAATTCCCTAATGAAGATCCCAGACATCTGGGCTGCATGCCTAAAATAGTATAGGATTGATGTAGAGATGTTTAAATATTATGCACTAGCTAATAAATACACAAGGTGACTGGATTGCTCAGGGGGTTGGTACTGGGATATTGTATCTATGGCTTCTAGGTCATTGCTTTGAATTCAGCCCTGCTTAATAGTAACTACATTCAGTTACTATCAATATCTCTTCAGTAAACTACATGAGTTTTTGGTATCGGTCCAGTTATTTGTGGACTTGTGCCTACATAATTAGGGCATCCTGTATTGTAAGTTCTTTGGGGCAGGGACTGTTTTCTTATGTGCCAGCTTCAGCTTTTCCAATACAGTTCTGCTGTTTTGATACAAACGTCTCTGGCACTTTGGAACTGAAAATGCTCTGTTGCTTATGTAGGCCAAGCTATACTCCCAATGAGAGAGAGCTGTTGCGTGTGATATCTCTAGGCAGCAGTAGCACTAGAGAGATTCTTCTGCCTGCAGCACCAAATGGGCATTGTGTGGGCCTGATTTTGTGAAAATCAGGCTTCTCTAGTTGTCCATCTTTTGCCAAAATCAGTAAGATTCTGTCCATTAATATCTAGAAAGTTTCCTGAAATTCGGGAATTGATTGAATGCAGTGTTCAAAAGTTACTGGTTACAGACAAACAGAAATGCCCGTGAATTGAATGTAGGGCCTCACTTCATTTGTCCAGTTATTAGCAACCTTGACTGTCCCAGTGGAAAGGCCAAAGATTAGTGTTCATAGTCCGAGCATTCTGGGAGGCCGCTCCAGATCAGTGTTGAGGAACATTGTAGAAGAAGCGTGATGAGGTCTGTATGCTGTGCCTGTTATGGATGGAGAATGTCAGTCTTCAGGGTTGCTAAGCTGGACACCTTTCACGAGCATGCAGTTCATTGAAAAGATGTCATTAATTTTAGTTGGTAAAGATTCCGAAAGAACCAAGGTCTGGACTAAGTTTCATGAAGTTGCATTTCAGTACTTACTGAAAGATACCTTTTCAAAAGCTAAGTGTTAAATGGGAGCATTTTGTTTGACGAGCTGAACTAAGTGGCGTATCGTCAAAAGCATCAATGCTGTTGGCACTATTTGAAAATATTAAATCTTTACCGTCTGAGTCTGTTAAAATTGCATTAAAAAGTTTCTAAGAGATTTTAAAAGATGTAAATACTTGTCATTGCAAGTGTGTTTTAAGCAACGCTGTATTTAGAGAAAATAACACTTGCTCTCTTTAGGGATGCAAAGAAGAAACTGAGACTGGCTCTTTGTTCAGCAGATTCCATTGCCTTCCCAATGTTGACCCATTCGACAAGAAATGGCCTACCAGATCACACCGACCCTGATGGTAAATCCTCTTACATGTACAAACCCACGTTTCTCTATTTGACGTTGTTTTTCCTACTCCTACCCTCATCTTCATATTTTCTTCCATGCTTCTCCCACGCATGGGACAACCTGACAAATCCCAGTTTCAGTGTGTTGTAACCAGGTACTTTGGCAAAGTTGTGCTGTAACGTAGTGTAGGCAGAACCCAAGTATCCCAGGGAATAGCCTCCTGTTAAAACATTATAAAATGGAGCGGCAGAGAAACGGTCGGAAATTGAGAGAGGCTGCACTAGATGAGTTAGTGTCTTTTCAGATTAACTCCGCTTTTTGCTTAAAGAAAGTGTGCGTACTGCACATGTATGTAATATATGTATGTGCAGTTCTACGTTTTTACTTGCAGATTTTCCTTTATTTATCCCTTATCTAGGGCATTTAAAGGCCCTTCTTAAATAATTATGGCAAATGAATATCAAAATAACACGAGTGGTGGATATTGCTTAACATGCATCAGTGTAATGGTTTGAAAGTATTATGTGCACCAGCTTTTCCATGCAGCTCTCTCAGATAAAAGCACTCTTTCACCTGTTTTCTGTCTGTGGGAAAAACCATGTAGGCAATAATACTAATTCTGTCATGTTTTTGGTCAGATAATGAAATTGTGTGCTTCCTGAAAGTTCAGTTAGCTGAAGCTATTAACCTACAAGATAAGAATTTGATGGCCCAACTGCAGGAGACAATGCGCTGTGTAAGCCGCTTTGATAACCGAACATGTCGAAAGCTACTGGCTTCCATTGCAGAGGATTATAGGTAATTTGTTTTGTGTATCATTATTAAGCAGTTGCCATGTGCAGGTTTTTATCCATTAGCAGATTGGAAGTGTCCAACTTGGCTTAGCAAAAGACAACTTTTGACATCTCCACTTTCCCACCAAATGCTAAAATTCTCTCTCCTTTCTGGGAATGAACCATAAAAGGCTTGGTATCAGAGGGGTAGCCGTGTTAGTCTGAATCTGTAAAAACCAACAGAGGGTCCTGTGGCACCTTTAAGACTAACAGAAGTATTGGGAGCATAAGCTTTCGTGGGTAAGAACCTCACTTGCAAGTAGTACATCTGAAGAAGTGAGGTTCTTACCCACGAAAGCTTATGCTCCCAAGACTGTTAGTCTTAAAGGTGCCACAGGACCCTCTGTTGGTTTTTACATAAAAGGCTTGAATCTTAAATTAGCCCAACTAGTAACACACTCCAGTAAGAGAATGTTGTTAGGCCAGTTTGAGTGTGCTGCTCTGCACTGGCACACAGGAGACCTGCATTTCGATTCTGCTGCAGTCTCTCACTTCTTGGAGTGGGGGGGCTGTGGAGTCAGCGAGCCAGCATTGGAATTTGGATAGTTGTGTCTTACTGCATACATAATCTGAGGCACTAAACAGACGGTTGTCCAATAGCTTGAATTCAGGATTTGTTATTCTATAAAACCTAGGAGAGTTGAAGACTCCTCTCATGCCTTTCTGTAACCAGGTTTAGGTAGTGAGTGTCCTACTTCTGTCTTTATTGTGGAATCCCTAATGAGAAAAGCATTTTTAATTTTAGGAAAAGGGCTCCATATATTGCTTATTTAACTCGATGTCGCCAAGGTCTGCAGACCACACAAGCCCATCTGGAAAGGCTCCTGCAGAGGGTATTACGTGATAAGGAAGTGGCCAACAGATATTTCACCACAGTTTGTGTGAGGTTACTTCTGGAAAGCAAAGAAAAAAAGATAAGGGAATTCATTCAAGGTAATTTAATGTAGAGTGTGGGTCATCTGTACCTTTTTGTGTTCAGTATTTAAAAATAAATAGACTGTGCCTCAAGTTAGACTCCTAGAATAGATTTGTTTACTGGTTGAAACCAAGTCTGACTGTGTCTCAGAGGATACAGGGAACAGTTGGTGTTTGGAAAGCTGTATTATGCTTATACATGGGATTCATCTTGGCACAGGGTACCTCAGTCTAGAGAACTACTGCCTTAAAATAACTGCTTTTAAAAATCTATCCATCTATAGAATCTGAAAGTAATCCAAGCAGAGAAACTTAGAGGAAACAAGCAATGCACAGTCATTCCATGGTTTTGGGCTTTGCTGTGCAGCAGCTTCATAAACATTTTCACTGGGCAGAAAGGAGAAATTTGGTCCTGAAAGAATGTCTGAGCTGCTAGGCTGGAGAGAAGAATTAGTAACTGGCTGCAGGGAGGTGGAATTGATAGCTGTGCTTCCTAAGTGGGAGGAACCAAGAGAGATGGCCAGTGGTCCTGTTACCCATTGCATTACCCTGGCTGCATTGCAGGTCCTGTATTTTAGTATATGTTTTGTTACATTAATATGACTATAGCAACAATGCATATTTAATCAGATACAAGACTGGAAAATGGTACACATGGGCTTTCTTAATCTCCTCCCTTCCTAGTGATAATGTCTGGCAGCCTTAATGATATTGGTCCCTATTGGTGACCTTTACAGTAATTACACTTAGTACTTTTCCTCTTCCTAGTGCCCAATGAGGGAGGCAGAAAAGTATCTGTGTTTGGGGGAGATGGGGTGAGTCATGAGAATTAGGTAACTTGCAAACGGCCTCAAATGAAGTGAGTAGTGCAGTGCCAACAGAGTGCTTAGACCACACAGTCTGCAAAATGTATCCTCTACTTTTTTCCAATTTCTTCATCGGAATGACCATGTTCCTCCCCATACTCCGTCCCCAACCCCCCACCCCCAAAGCTACAAACAAGAACCCTTACCCCCATTGACCAGTTTCTGGCTCTACTTTCTGGAAGTGCCATAGAAACTGCTTTCATTTGCCTTTTTAGTTGAATTTCCTCCTTTCGCTTTGTATTCAGATTTCCAGAAACTCACTGCAGCAGACGATAAAACAGCCCAAGTAGAAGACTTCCTTCAGTTTTTATATGGAGCCATGGCCCAGGATGTCATCTGGCAAAATGCCAGCGAAGAGCAGCTCCAGGACGCACAGCTTGCCATCGAACGCAGTGTGATGAATCGCATTTTCAAACTCTCATTCTACCCGAATCAGGATGGAGACATTTTGCGTGACCAGTAAGTGAACAAGATTAGATGTACCTGAGTTATCTCGCAGTGTGTAGAGAAAGAAGCACTGCTCTTTCCAGGAAACAAACTTGAGTGCCTAGGCAGATAAGCCAGCCTTACCACACAACCTCTTTGCTTTGCCTTAATTAATTGTTTACATTAAATAGGTTTTCTGTATGAGAGAGAGAAACTATTTTAGGCTTTTACTTTAGCATCCTATGCAAAGATCTGCAGTCGCAGCACACTACTAAAACCAGAGGAAAATAATCCTAACTGTCTGATTTAGGAACTAGATGATAAACCCTGTAGTTTTGTGTTGCACAGTGGATAATTAAAACCTTCTTAAGGGCGCACACACCCTCCATTTACAGTTTTAGTGCAGTTGGCCATGTGCCTCCTGGGTCTTTCATCTTCCTTAGGGCACCAGGTTTTTGACCGCTGCAGCCAGCATGGTATTGGATTTGGTGTACCATAAGACAGATCCCGCTGTTAGTGAGGCCAGTGCAAACTGACCATGGTTACTATTTGTACCTGATGTTCCAGTTGCTCACTCTTATGTCTGCAGTGTATTGTTCAGATAGGTCTAGTTTATAAACTCGTCTTATTGCCTGGGAAATCCAAAAGGGGTTTTTGCCTCTTCTATGAAAACTACATTTGGTCTCTTGAGGTGGCTGGCGCTCTCCTTTTCTCACTTCACTTTTGTTCCCCCTCTTTTTCAGGGTCCTTCACGAGCATATCCAAAGGTTGTCTAAGGTAGTGACTGCAAACCACCGAGCACTTCAGATACCAGAGGTAACAACTGCTTCTTCCCTCTATTTTTGTATTTAAAATTAGAGGAAATAGCAGCACTTCTCTTCTTAAAGCAGGTGACGTAGCTGTACAATTTACTCCTTGTCCTTGGGTGATACTGTTTGTTATACTCCACTGATGCAACCACAAGTTTGAAGGTGTATTTAATATTAGTCATTGCACAAGTGACAAATGGTAAACTAATATGGAGGGTTCTTCATTTAAAAAAATGCCACTAACAATATCCAACCCACCTGAGCTGACAAGCAGTAACTCTGTAAAAACACCTTTTTTTAAAAGAGGTGGCTTAGTTAAAGGGCTCAAGACTCATGTACATCGTTGTTGTGATTTATATTCACCAGGTAAACTAAAATCTTGTAGTATTACCTAGGTTGGAAAGTACTTCTAGTAATCTATATCCCCGCATCGAGGCAGGGATAATTCTATTATTCCCAAGCAATCCCTGATGGACAGATGGTTCAAGTCCAACCGTCCACTCTGAAGCCTAGAATGTCCGTTGAGTCAGTGTGAAGCAATGGAAATAGCTACAAATGGTTGAGAGCTAATTTTGTTTAGAATATCACCAGCTTCAATCATCACTGGGACTTGCATTTTGTTACCATCTAATTTTTTAGTTCTCAGCTATTTTCAGCTTTTTTACACACATGACTTTAAGAATTATACCTGTGCGACGGCACAGGATTTCAGCAACTAGTCCTAGCATAATGGTTTTTAACCTGGATAATACTTCACCCTTTATGCAGCATGTTTCTTCCTCAAATTGCTTTACAACAGTAAATCCTCACAGCGCCCCCATGCAGGAGGGAGGAAGGAACTTATTATCCCTATAAAACAGGTAGGGAGATGGAAACAAAATGAGGTTAAGTGAGTAGTCCAGTGTCACAGGAAAAAGTCCATGTCAGAGGCAGGTCTAGAACTCATGCATTCCTGGCTACCAGTTCAGTTCTTGGTCTGCACCTCTGAACAGGTGAGGGTCAGTAAATCATTTTATATGGAAGCTAGAACTTTATGTCTCGGTCTTCTTCTGAAACACTGTCTTGGGGAAAATCAAAGAAAGAACAAGCTGATTGTGTGCTAATCGCACCATTAATATTACTTTCCTTCAGTGTTGTTTATACACAGAATGAGGGAGGCTTCCTGATGAGGTGTACTGTATCGATTTTGTCCCTTAATTTCCCATTCCTCGGTGTGCTGCTCCCACCTTTAAGTCTCCAGTATTAGAATGCACTGCAGAAGATCCTTAATCGCTTGGACTGACTAGAATTGGAAATGTTTTTCTTCTCTTTAGGTGTATCTCCGGGAGGCACCATGGCCATCTGCACAGTCCGAAATCCGCACAATCAGCGCTTACAAAACCCCACGGGACAAAGTGCAGTGTATTCTGCGAATGTGTTCAACCATCATGAACCTGCTGAGTTTGGCCAATGAAGATTCAGTCCCTGGGGCAGATGACTTTGTTCCTGTTTTGGTGTTTGTTCTGATAAAGGTGAGACTTCTAGCAGATAACATAGATACTTTATAGATAGATATAGGTATGTTTCCTTTAATTCTTGTGGTAAACCATCAAATCCTCTGAAGAGATGTTATGCATTCTATTGACTGTATATCTGATTTAAAGTGCAGACTTCATCTCTATGGCACAACTTGAACCAGAAAGTTAGTCACAGATGGGACATTGTTCTGATTCTATGCAAATCTGGGAGTCAATCAGCTAGAGTGCTGTGCCTCGGTATTTGCCTGTGGCTCAGTTGGTACTGAGAACAGCCTTGCCTAAGGCCAGGTTCCTCATTAGAACTCTGACTTACACGCATTTCCTGACTCAAAAGAACTAGGAATTGGAGGCTGCTCTCTCCTGTGTGAGCTGATAAAATCATAGTCCTTTGTACCAGTGGAAGTCACAGGTGACTGGAGGGAATTTTAAAGATCCTGGGACTCTTTCCGGAGAGAATAAGTGTTAACCTTAGTGCGTTGGCCAGCATTCCTCCTTAGCAAAGCCAGTTCTTGCATATGGTGCTCAAGGCGCTGCTTCTGTGAGTGGAATGGTGTCTGTATTTGTCTGAACAGTCACTGCCCTACCAGTATGTAATATTCAAAACCTAGGCTGAGGGGTGCTTATATACATAACATTCCATTTCTGTTCTATTATATTTGTAACACTTCTCTTTAAAACGTCGGTCTCAAACTTAATTGTGGCATGTACCTTTTCTTTTTCACCCCCAGGCAAACCCACCCTGCTTGTTGTCCACTGTTCAGTACATTAGTAGCTTCTATGCTAACTGTTTAACTGGAGAAGAATCTTACTGGTGGATGCAGTTCACAGCAGCAGTTGAATTTATTAAAACCATTGATGATCGTAAGTGACCCAAAAGGGCACCTATGTAGACAGACTGTTAGCAGCAAAGAGCCTGTAAGAATGTATATCAACTGTTTCAAAGGCTGAAGAAATACTTTCCTTGTATAATATTGTACAGAGTGGAAGCGTTTAAAAAAAATTTTACTAATCAGATTAATTAATTTAACAGGTTTTCTTTCCTCTCTGTTTTGGTTGCATCTTTCCCCCCTTTAGGGATTAGCACGGGAAAAAGGGACCACATTTTTCAGGTATTGTGGATTCTCAAAATCGTTTAGGAAACTCTGCTGTCACTGCCCCTTTCACACACACTATTTTTCCCCTAGGCTTCTGTTGATGTAAATTTGTTCATTTTCTTTGTTTCCAACCAAAAAGATCATGGCAAGCACTTTTAAGAACCTTTCTAGCTTAATACACCTTTTGTAAGAAAACACCAGCTGCACTGAAAGTTTGTAGCAGTTGACATAATTATAAATTGTACTTCACCTATGGTAAAATTAAAACCTGGGGACAATGTAAATATATTATATAATATTTAATAAACTGCAGTCATCTTTGGACTCATTATCCTTTCAACCAGCAAACAAGCAGTTTCTCTCTCCTACAGCAGGTTGTGACATACTGTATTGGGTAATGAGATGACTTCCTCAATAGGATAAGTTTAAAAAGGGCAAACCTAAATATTTATTAAAATTTAATAAAGTTTACAGAACTTTCTGAAACTGGAATTTACAATTCACAGGGCTCTCACTCGAAAGTTTAAAATTTTTGGCTCGGGAATTAGAGCATTTTAAATAAATAGTTTGGATTTATAGAGGAGAGGGGCTGTAAGTTTCAATAGAGAAGTTCTAATATAAAAAGGAATAGTATATACCTTATTGTAATATTTTTCATCTGATGTATTGTCTGATGCATCAAATACTGTGTATACTGTACAAACCCCAAACAGAATTCCTTACAGAACCTGAAACTGTAATATATATTTTGATTATTCACATTAAATACACATGCCAGGGGTTTCAGTGAATGTTTTTTTACTATATGTTCTTTGTATCGTCTTCTCTAGCAGTGCAGGTTTTACTATTCATATAAAATATTTTAAAGTACCATGTTGTCCTTTATAAAACACATCATGAAATCAGTTCACGGAATCTTTGCAAATGTCTCTCACCCCTCTCCCATTTGAAACTGACAATTACGAGAAGAGCAGGTGCACTTCCTTGACCAGCAAAATAATAGAGTTCCCAGAGCTGGCCCAAGCCATTTCTTATATGCCTGTGAGTGGTCACTGGCCTTTGTTCTTGTAGATCTCTCTAAAAAAGGATGGCGATCAATTTCTTTTGTAAAAGGCACACTGCTTAACCCCTTGATGCTGGCATTACTCCTCGCTCTCTCCTCTTCCTCCCAGTGCACATCTCTTTGCTGGCAGTGAGGTGAGCCAGATGTGCTGGCTTTGAGCGGTAAAAGAAATGACATAATCTGCACCCCTTCTTTAAATAGAAGAACAGTTTATATTTCTAAACACTGCTTAAAAATGGGTTGAAGATTTTTTTGTGTACTGGAAAAAGCCAACATACCACATGTTAGAAGCCACGTGAGTTTTTTAAAAAGGGAATCCATAAAAATCTAAGTAACTATTACTTCTGAGAGTCATTAACTGAAATTAGAACAATCTATGTACAGTATTAAGTGATTGAGATGTGATTGTGTTACCCATCTAGGCATAATTCAGTGAAAGAAACCTTTGTTTTCAAGGACTTAATCATTAATGTGTAATTCAATATATCATTTTTATCATGTTAAATAAATCATGGGGAATCAAGTGAGATGGTATTTTTTTTGAAGTTTTGTTTATAGTCTTTCTCTTCTATTATAGACTTACAGGGTACAGCAATACTTTCTAGTAGCAATGGAGTTGCTGTAGTCTGCTTTACTGTGATCTTGAGTCTGAATGGCATTGTAATACTCTAGTTGTTTAGCCGTCATGGTTTTTTGGTGCTAATGTATTGCATTCACCGCCCTAACCAATAACATTCAGCAGCGAAGCACAATACTGCCCTTTAAGAGAGAGCCAGAATTACATCTAAAAGCAACGTACATTTGTTATGCCACAATTCAGAAGTGTTCTGTTGTGTTAAATTATCACTGAGAATTTGCTGTGTTGATATCAAACTACTGACGTACCCTTAATTCTGCAATTTTTGGCTTTTGTGACAGAGAATATTTGGTCTCTAAAACCTGTCGTTTTCTTATATTTAACATTTGGCACAAAGCTCTCTAAGGGGGAGCAAATGATAGTCAATGATTATCATGCATTTTACCTTTTTATTATGAGCAGTCTGGACACAAAGGAGTTGATCTATGATTCTGTGATCAGCTTGATCAGGTCTTCAGGATTTATTCTCTCTACTGGAAAGTTTGTTTTCTCCTGGCAAAAACCATTTTCTTCACATTTGTATCACTTCGCTGCTTTTCTGTATAGAAAAGTTACTGAAGAACTTGAACAATTTTTTAAATGGTAAATATTTGTATAAGCCCCAATATAGGTGAGAATCTTCACAGCAGGATGGTCCTTTGCTTCTTTTTTAACCTGCTGTAAAAGCCTTTTATACACTGTTATAAATGTAGTAAAAGAATTAGGCTTTCCAAAGAATTAGGGATCTTATTGTAATGTGTGTGTCTATTTTTTCCTGGTGTCCTGATTTTGTTTTAAAATGTTAAATTATATGTACAGGAAGATGACTTTACGTTTTCTGTTGTGCAATAGTAAGAAAATAAAGATGGAAAGCACATTAAGGACCAAACAGTAAAAGAACTGTTTTGCCAAAAGGCTCCAGCCAGCCATGCACACACATTGCATTGAATCAGTACTCAGAACTTCAGTGCTTGCTGTTAGAATTACTTCAGCCACTTAACAGTGAACTGAAAAATGTTTTGGGAGGTGGGGAGTGGAGGTTATTAATAGCGATCATATATGCAGACTTAAGGCCCAATTATTGAAGTTCAGGGTGCTGCCTGTAGGAGTAAGGAGTACTCACCTGTCTGTGATTTCATATGATTGGGCACATACATGTTACAAAGGCATTATTTTTCTTTCTTGGGATGGGGAGCAGGAGGGAAGAGGCTTGGCTCTTTCATCTGCAGGGGAATCCCCTTTTACTTCTAACCCCTGATGATTTTTCTTTTTAAAGCTTGTTCTTCAAGAGGAATTGCAATGTATGGCCTTTTGTTCTACCAAATACTGAATGTAACTGCCATAAATTTTAGGAAGAAGCCACAAACACAATCTCTTTACTGTAGGTGAGTTTGTGGTGAGCACCAAGTGTTGGATCAGATTTAGTTTGAAAATGTTGATGTTCTATTAAGCCAAATTCTAGCAGAAATTTGCGATTTCGTTGCTATGTTAATGCTGAATAGTTTGTAGAGGGAAATTAGTAGACTAAGAAAGGGGAAGCAGTCAAGAGCAGTCCCGCTTCTCAAAGCTGCATGAAAGTGAAGCATATTTGTCTAAAGTCTAGTAATTTATGTGGCATATATATATATTTTTATATATATAAAGCAGCCTTAGGCTAGCTGTGTGGCAGGAGAACCTGGAGCAGCAGAAAAAATAGTGGACCGTAGGAAGGGGAAAGTACTCCTTTTATTTGGGTAACAGCTGATAGCTTGGTTGAGCCTGTACTACTTGAGAATTAATTGCTGAGTTACTATTGTGTGTTCTGTACCTTTAATTGTGCTTCACCTCTATTTAAAAGCTTTGTACTGCCTCTCTTGAAACTGGTAAAGCCTTTAACATTTTAAATTAATGAGCTTGCACAATCTTGTATACAGGAAACCCATCTTGTCTCTACTGTGATTATTAATGTATTATATCATTCTGTAAAAACTGATTAAAAAGGAGAGCAGTTTAACTGTGACTGGGTTTCGCGTCTCTGCATTGTAACATTCATGTCATGTTCTGTATATTCAGCAATGGCACTGAAGCCAGCATTGCAAGCTTATTTTATTGTAATATATACAACTTTGTTTCCACTAATTTTTGCACTTTGTTTTCAATTCAACACTGTTCTGACATGTTGCATATGTAGACTCCTCCCATCTATGCACACGTACAGCTCAAAGGATGTGGTGTGAGGAAGAGCAGAAAGGAAACAAGACCCCAGTGACAGAATAAGGAGCTTTGCACTTCTAGGGCACTGGTTAATAGTGATGGTAGTTACCAAGTGGCCAGTTAGTGGCATGTGGGAAATGAGTTTGGGGACTTGCACTGCAGTGTGATGGACAGATTTCTGCATCACTGTTTGTACAGTCCTGAGCACAGTATTGCATTCCAAGTCTCACAAAGTCCACCATCACTACTGAAGCTAATTGGCCCTGTTGCCATCTCAACATGGAGCAAAAGATCAGCTACGTTTGTAGTGAAGTCATTTGTAGCCCTGTGCAGGTGGTGGCTCCAGGACAGGGCTCTATAACCTGGGCAGGACTCTGGAGGAAGAGTTCTGTGGCTTGCTGCCTGTACTGTACCTGATCCGTGGATAGAAGAGTTCATTCACCATGGCTGTCAAGTCCATAGCACTAAAGTCACTTAAGTTTTTCTTCCCTTTTTTAAAAAAGTCTCCTGTTGAAAACTGAAGACCATAACAAATTCAGATTAACATGCTGCTGCCTAAAAGATGAATAGACAGACTATCTTAAACAGGTTAATCTACCAGTAATCTCATTTAACATTATCTGGCAGTTAAAGGGTAGACTTTGCTAGGCTCTGTCCTCCATTTAATTTGGCTAGCAGAGTGGAATAAATTTGGCAACAGCCCAACAGCAGATCTTCTACAGCAAGAATCCTGCAGCTCTTACGGATCATGAGACAGTGCTGTGGTTTGCTGAAAACATGTACATGGGAGTATTTTGGGATGGGAAAGCAATTCAATACCATCCAATGATCTCTCTTGTCTAGTGTTTGAACAGCATCTACCTTGGCTGAATGTAAAAGTTTAGTGGTAATTGTTTTTTTTCCCTCAGTCCATCTGGTCTCATTCCACTTTGATCTGTTCAAAAGCAGCAATATGTAAAATTAAGCTGTCATACATAATCTATATTTTTAACTGAAAAGCTTCTTTCAACATGCAGAGTCACGATAGGGTTAGGAGAAAACCATCTGTGTTTCAGTCCATTTCAGAGAACATTTTCCCAGCAATATAATTTAACGTCAAAAGTGAAGTCCTTAGCTTAAATGAGAGTTCAGCAGGAGTTAATTTTGTTCACATTTTGTCCACTTACAGCAGCCTCAGTAAGGGATCTGGTTTCATAAAGCCTTTATTAACAAAAATGAAATTCACAACACATCCTCCTGTCAGAACAGAAATGAGTAGGGAATACTTAGCACTGCATTTCTCCGGCATTTTTCATACAAGGCTCTCAAAGCATGAACCACTTCTGTCAGATAATTGTGGTTGAGGAAACAAACACAGAAGGGTGAAATGACTTGCCCATGGTCACTCTGACTAACAGCTGGCAATGGATGCACTACTTGGGTGCTACCTATGCCACAGGGAGGGCTTCTCTCATCAGCCTCGGTAATCCATCTTGAGAGGCAGTAGCTAGGTCAACAGAAGATTTATTCTAGTGACCTAGCACTGACTACACTGGGGGTGAGGTCACTATAACTACATCTTTCAGGGCAGTGGACTTTTCGCACCCCTGAGAGCAATTCCTAGACCAGGACAGTGGAAGTGAGTGTTCACAGCTTAAGGCTCTCTCAGACCTACCTCCCCTCCTGTGTCAGTGGAAAGGGTTTACTGTACATCTATTGGGGCTCTTCTGCTCCCTGGGCTTGGGGCTGCTGGAAAAGCATTCACCCCCACCTCCACGCAGCTCTTCTCTTGCCACTTGTCTGCAAAACCTTTTGGGAACAGTCAAGAACCTCTCTTTCCAGGGTGGAGTGAAAGACCCAAGTTGTGCTGGTTTCCTCTGGCAGGAGATCTCTCTAGGGGAATAGCAGCTGGGTTGGAAGATCAAGCCAGGGCCATAGTGATAGGTAAAAGAAATGGGAACTAACTCAGCAGTTTGCACTTTGGGGAAAGTGGGGTGGCTGCAGGTGGGTACAAAGGTGTGTTTGCTCATAGGGTGGGCTCGTGAGGCGAGAGCTCGAGACGTGCCAGTGAGACTTGGCTGTACTGGGGTGAGTTGGGAGGACTGTTTTGGGAGAGGGGCATAGCTGGAGCTCTATGTATGTCACTCCCGGGCAGGATGAGATTAACTGTGTCTCTCGCCGCTGCCTCATTCCATCCTGTTCCGGTAAATGCTCTCCTGCCTGAGGAGGTTCTATTGCAGACAGGGCTGCGCACTCCCTGCCTTGGGGTGGTCGAGCAGGTGCAGGTCTTCGAGGGTCACATGTACCACCTTCAAACAGGATGATGCACATAGTTACAGCCCGCTGCGTGAGCGGTAAACCCATCTCCCCCCTCCCCCCCCCCACCACACCCCTGCAGACAAGTCCCACACCATGATTCTGACACACCAAAGGGTGCCCTTGGTCCGGGCCAGATCCCCAGCTGCTGTAATTCATGGCTCTGGGGGAGAGAGACAAGGTGGGGGAGGTGTAACATCTTTTACTGCACCAACATCTCTTGGGGAGAGAGACAAGCGCTTGAGCTACCCCGAACTCTTCTTCAGGAAGATAAAGCTTCAGGAAGAGCTCGGTATAGCTCGAAAGATATTACACCACCTCCACCCTGTCTCTCTAATATCCGGGGACCAACAACCCCACCAACTCTGCATGGCTCCATGGGACTGGGTGAACTGCACCGCGTTACACTAGTGAGACTCTGGCCCTTAGACGCTGATGGTTTAGCTGGGCAGGGCAGTGGGGGAGAATCACAAAGCCCCCTTGTCCCATGTAAGCACGAGCAGGGGCCCAGGATGGGAGCCAGGCCGGCGGGGAGTCTTCGGGCTGGGATGCTGGTCTCTTGCAGCCAGGCTCACGGTTCCCAGAACGGAGCTTTCTGCTCTGCAGCTTCAGGAGCCAGGCTCAGGCCTCATGGAGCTGAACTGCCAAGAGCCGGAGCTGGCATGCCCCTCGGGAGGAGAGGGAGGATCCGGAGCAGAGCCCACGTGCGCTGGAGGAAAGGCTTCGCAGAGATCCTGAAAAGGCAGCTGCCTTGCCTACCTCGGCTGCAAGGGAGTGGCAGGCGGAGCAGCCCTTTGCTTCTGCCTGGGGTGCAACGTCCCCTTACCCCGAAGAAGAGGAGAAAGAGAGTCACTCTGGAGCCAAACTGGGATTCTATGGATGGCCTGAGCTCTGTCGCTCAGGGAAAGCAAGGGACTAGAAGCCCACTGGTTGCTGTGGGGAGCCAAGTCCTGCCCCAAGCAATTGACAGGCCTGGTCCTGCCTGTTGCAGCTGCAGCGCAGAGGCACACGGACTGCCAGGATGGACTGCCTAGAATTGCCAGGGTGTTAATTCCACTCTAAAGAGAGCCAGGCCTGGATTGTTGCAAGAAACGGCGGGACAGATTCGTCCTCAGCCCCTGCTCTGAGTGGCCACTGCTTTCTCATCACAGGCATCTGCAATAATTGGCTGTGCAGGCAGAAAATTATTAGTACAGGTACAGGATGATGTCCCTCCCTGCCTGATTTGGGAGCTAGGACCGATGCAGGCATGAGAAGCAGGGGTTTTTTTACTCTCCATCCCTGGTCTATTAGCTCTCTGCCTCCAGCCCCAAGCACAGAAATGTGAGATGACACTTCCCTTTCTGTGATGATGAACCCTCTCTACTGCTGTGACCTCAGAGAGGCTGCCAAGGGCTCTCCTGTCGCGTACCTTGCTGTGGTCGGGGTCGGGATAGTCGCAGACCCCTGCTGGGAAGGCAGATCTCATTAAATTCTTCAGCTCCTTTGGGTAAATGTAAGTTGGATACTTTGTTTTCTCCAGGCCTATTCTTCCTTCCCACTTTAAATCCAAGCAGACAGGTTACACTGGACAATGCTACAAAATGGGCACATTGTACACAACCATTTCCTCCCCAGAGCCGATGTGAAAAGGGCCCATCACAGGCCTCTTTGCCGTGAACTCTGGCACCACATGTAGGTCATGGCAATCACTGCAGCATAAGGCTGCATAGCATCCTCGGGGAAGAGGTTCACGGCTCCTCTAGCACCGGGGCTGTGGATTAAGGTCTAGTGCAAGCTGCCTTGACGTTACTGCAACCCTGCTGTCCAGGCCCTAGCCAGCCATGCAGCTCTGCAGTGCTTTGGAAGTCCCTTGCGCCCCACACATCCCATGTACTCAGTAACACTAGAGCCAGGTTTACCCATTAGCCTCCCCTTCGCTCTCAAGGCCCCTCTCTTTGAGGGGAGCCTGAAGCGAAAGGCTGGGCTCCTTCCCCACCTCCTTTGCTCTCACCAGCCGCCTGCGGATGAGTCTGTATGCCTTGTGCCTCCTGCTCTTATCACACTTCATTGTTGCTGCTTGCTCCAGGACAGGTGCCACCCAGAGGGGGATCCTGCAATAGACAGCTCCTGAGAGCCCAGCAGAGACTGGCACCCGGGCCTATGACACAGCTGTTGCTGGACATAGCTTTATTGCCCGCTTGCTTTTCCGCTGAGGACCCCCAAGCATGAACTCACCCTCCCGGACACCAGAGCAGTAGATAAGGATTCTTATAGATGTTTTACAGGTCAGAAAACTGAGGCCTGTGACCAAGCTGCAGAAATCCAGTCATCCCTGCTTTAATCCACTAGACCCCACACTCCTCCCAAAGCCAAGAATGCAGTCCAGGAGCCCTGACGCCCAGTCCCCACTGCTCGGATCCCTTAACGCTCCCCTCCCATCTCCAGTTCTTAGCTGGTTTCTCTGGCCCCTGAATAGAGTTCCACTGGCTTCTGCTATGTGCACAGCATATCTGGGTTTCCTCCCTAACC